AATCCTTCACTGGTAGATTATTTCTAATTGATCAAAGCAACACCTCAGAGTTTCAAACTTTGTTTGACTCTGCTTCAAAATCACCTCTTGGTCAGCTGTTAGGTCTAAGCTCTGTCAAGTCGAGCTCCCATGACATCTTTTCCACGGAGTTCACTGCATGCTTTATCCTTTTAAATGGCTGCAGCCTTGATACACGCAATCTTAGGCTGCTATTCAATGCCATGTCCAGAGCAAGAGCTTATTGTGAAATCTTTCTGTTGGTAGAAGAAAATGATAAACACGAACTTGAAGGATTTTTGGGCATCTTCAAAGGGATGAAAATACAGCATGTATATGCGCCAGAGGAAGCGGAAGAGGAGGAGAATGGCGTTTTCAACCTACTTCAAGAAATCCCTTTGGATTAGTTTCTTGCTTTATTAAGACATTGAGTTCAGCTCATAAATCATTTCGTAGCTTTTACTTGTCATTGTTTGTTCTGTTATAAACAGCCAATTTATTTGAGGTAAAAACACCATCATTTTTATATGCTGCTAGAGTTATAGAACTAACAAGTATGTAACCTTATGTCAATTAAAACCTAATTTAATGCATGGCTGTAGATAAAATATCTATAAGAATTCACATTGTAAATAGTCTTTTTCGGCTGTAACCGCCCCCTCCCCCCAAGATAAAGGACGAACAAAGAGAACATTTGTTATGCAAAATTGGATCGATATTGGGAAAACGAACAAAATATTCTATTACGCAGGCAAAACCTAAACTTTATACAGTTTTTCTTAATTCGGACAGTTTTTCCAATCATAAAAACATACCCAATATCACCTCAAATGAATCGTACCTTTTTTCTTTAGCAATTTTCTAGCTTCGAAGTTTTTAACATGGGCTGCCCCCTTAAAATAAGTACATATTGGCTCCAAAAGCAACTTTAGAAAATTTTTTGGGTTCGTCAGCCAAAATTGGATATCTGAAAATAGTTCGAAGGAGGGGTCCTTTGGGGTCGGTAAGGGGTCGATTCCTTGATGTAGGGGAGGGAGGCGTCCGCCCCCCATTCCCCGCCCCTAAATCCGCCCCTGGCGCTGCGCATTAGCCCCTATAACTTACTCAACTAAAGTTGAGATCATTTCTTTTCCACGCTCTTAAGCCCTGAATGTTCCGACTGCCTGAAAGGTTTATGGAGCAGTAATATCATAAAAAAATTAAATGATATGAAAATAAATAAAATGAATTTTTTGTTTTCTAAAATTTGCAGTTTTTCATGAAAATCATCCCCCCACACGCCATATAAAGTACAAAAAAATAGATTTCGTTCCTTGTAACAAATCAATTATGGCAAATAAGCTTCGTTCAACCAATTTGGAACGATTTATAAGACGGATTAAATCTCCGCTTAAGCGTTAGTAGCGCAAAATATATCGCGCGTTAATTGTCCCAAATTGGTCAAAATGGCAATATTTAAACCCTCATAACTTTACGAAAAAAGATCACAGGTGAAGTATCTTTTCAAATTTAAGCTCAAGACAACAATACCTTTTGAATGATATGAAAAATTCCGTCAAAAATGGCTAGTTAAAAAGTCGAAATTTGTCTGAAGAAAAAAAACCAACACCACAACACAAATATTCTGTTACTTACGTATCGAAAGTCGGAAAAATACAAATCCCTTTTTCACAAAACAGTTGCTTATGACTAATTCTTCTCGGGAAAATTTTCTGAAAAAACATTCTCTAATAAAAAACTTTGTTTCGAATTGTATTAGAATTTTTAATGGGATCATCTGGCTTTCTTCAACTTTTGATTAAAAACGAATTGCATAGAGTATGGTAAACGTTAATTATTTGATATTTAAATTGAATGTTTTTTGCTAAGTGGTTTGAAAATTTTTCTGGGAAAGAAAAGCGTGATTATAATCAAAAACTTTGAAAAATTTTGGTATAACTTCATATCAAATTATAAAAATGGAAATCCCAGAGACAATTCGCGAGTGGATTCCTGTTTGAACAAACCTTGAAAGTTAAAGATTTTTAAATTTCTGTTTGAGTGATAATGATAGAAAAATCTTAGAATGGAGAAAATTTTGGACTTCTCAATCAATTTTCTTCAAAATCATTCGACATGCAGCAACTTGCAACAATTTCTGCCAATCTCAATTGAGTAATGCAGAGAATTTGCATGATATTTCCCGAAAATTCTATCAGTACAGCCAACTCAAACTCTAAGCATACTCACTCTCTCGAGCGCTTATGGATCATAATCATTTATATTGTCATGTCATAGTCAGTAGCCACAAAGTTACATAATAATCTATTAAAAATGGATTATAGTCATATTATTTTTTCATGTCAATATAATCCATTAAAACCGATAATATTCAGTTATAGTAGAGCTTAGAGTTTTTTGAGATTTTATTGATCATCACAATAACTGAAGAAAGTCAAAACTGTCGGTTTATCTAGCTAGAATAGAATTTTAATTATTCTGATAGTGTTTGGACATAAGCTATACCCAAGGTTGCATTAGGAGTCAGATTTTTTTTTTCATATTTGTTGTTATTATTATAACGGTAGTGCATTAAATCGAATGTTTAATGTCTTCCGGCGTCCAATTTCAAGCTTAGTTTGTCCAATTTATCTTCGAGGTGCATCTAAACTGCTTATAATTTACGTTTTCTGTAGACGTTGGTTCCTATGAAAAATGAGAAAAAATGTTTTTAAAGTTTTCAATTCATTTCAATTCAGTTTCATAAGTTTTTTTTCACTTCCCCTTCAGAGTTGTTTTGTGATGCACACTATAAGCTTTAAAACATCAGTAAAGTGATTTAATTTCATGATTGAAGATTTATTTTTCATCTACCGCTGAAACTTTTCCACTAATTTGAAAAGATCTCTATGAAACTTTTGTTTCGTGGTAAAACTTTATGTTCAGATGAACCAAAGTGTTCAAGAGATCTCTCTTTCAGAGATTTTGTTAGAAGAAATAATTCAAATTTTGTCGAAGTTTGAGCGATTGTAATTGATTATAGACATGAAAAATTTTGGCAAATTAAGCGATTGTAATTGATTATAGTTCATTTTAATGGGCTTGTGTAAAAACTTTAAACAGTTATAATCGATTACATGAGATGAGATTATAAAATTTTTTTGAAAATATCACGATAAAAATCAATTATAAATCCTTTAAACGACGCACAGAAAATTCGGCCGAAGACAATTTAGCCAATTTAAAATTCGGACAATTCAGCCAGAATTATACAGACAATTCGGCCAAAGACAATTCAGTCAATTTTACCAAACGCTAGATTCTAAAGAAAAAAATTGGAATTGGAGTTATTTCTCGGTTTAAGGTGGCCGGAGGAAAGCTACGAGCGCGTGGCCGCTTCGCGGCGATAGCCGGCTCTAAATTTCGTATAGAGTCCTACCCTCTGTTGGCAAGCTCGCAACACGTTGGTGCGACTGCGGCGGTCACTATTTTTGGCTCAATTGTCTTTGGCTGAATTGTCTGCATACTTTTGGCTGAATTGTCTGAATTTCAAATTGGCTGAATTGTCTTTGGCCGAATTGTCTGGACGCGCCTTTAAACACCCAGTTTTGGTAATTATAGTCAAATATAGTTGTCAAAAAATCATCATAATGATCCATTATAATCAAATACTTTCGCCTAAACTTGAATGCGGGTTCGCGCTCCTGAGTATAATGGATATTAATCAATTATAATGGGTTTTCTAGACAATATAAATCAATCTCCTTTGGTTACGGATTTCAAACATAGAACGTGAAATCAAACCAGTATTATCCCCCACTATAATTAATTGTTATTGTGGAAAAAAATCCATTGTAAGCTATCATACCTGATTATAATCCAATTTTTAACGCACTGAAATCAATTATTTTGTCAGTTTAATACATTTTTATTTGGTTATATTTAAAAAAAAATCAATTCTAATTCCTTTTAATTGATTATAATCCATTATTTAAGCACAAAATTTGAAGAACTACTATGCCGTTTCTTAAGAGTTATAACACCCAAAAAAGGTAAAAATTCAATTAACGTCAACCATACACCCTCAGTTAACACCTTACTTACTCACCCTACCTAGCCCCAGAAAAAATTGTGAGCCCCACCCAATCCCCCAGCTCTCACCTGCGCTCGCGAACGTGGTCGAAGGGGGTAAACTAGGGACTGGATGGTTTGAAGTTTGAACTGGGGGAGCTGTAGCAATAGAGCCGGAGTTAACGTACAGTAAACCCTCCCCCCGCCGTCAACCATTAACCATTAACTTGAACGTAAGGGGGGGGGCTGGGCAAATAAGGATTGTGGTAACAAAAATTTAAAAAATAATAAACTGCTAGCCATGAACTGAGAAATATAAATCAAATAAAATGTGAAAAGTAAAAATTATGAAAGGCATACCAAGCAGAGTGCATTGAACAAAAAAGGAGATAAATTTAAACCAATTTTGTATATTTTTAATCATTAGTCTCACAAAAAATCATAATAATCGATTAGAATCTATAAAAATGGACTATTTTGACATTAAAATTTTTTAATGGATTTTAATCGGTGGTTATCAGGCGCGTATCTAGAAGTTTATTTTTCTCGAAAAAGACCGGTTTGAAAGCTTTCAGTTTTAGTTTAATTTTGAGCAAAAACAAAAAAAAAGCGAGAAACCTATTGCAAAAAATAAACCGTGAAACTTTTACGCAGACCCTGAAAACTTTGTTTTGCTTCGGAAGAATAAGCCTTCCAAAATTTTAGGTGACATCTTCAAAATTGTCAAAATGATATATGTTTTTTTTTCTAGTTTTGCTTTCTCAGAGAAAACTTGACCAATAGGCCTACTTTACTAGGATTCTCGAACTTGCCGAAAATTTAGAATTTCGCTCAAAAACTTTCATCACACCACGCACAAACTCCAAAATTAAATTTAAAAAAAGATAATTTTTGTAGCAACCGGCTATCTTTGCTATAATTCAAAATTAATCATTCTCAATTTTAATTTTCAGCTCAGAAATTGAAGATCGAACAGGAGCTGAAAGATAAACTTGAAGAGGAAGTGAAAGACTGCTTCGTATGCGAACAGGTAATAACTGTAATTCAGAAGTATATTAAATATTGAATTGATTGTTTTTGGAGCAAAATATACTACCATTAATGCTGTCGCAGTGTTAAATGAATATGCATGGTTATAGAATCAATACTTGAAATTATCTTCAGTCTTTATTGAAACTTTATCTCAAATATAGTGAATTTTTTTTGAATAAACGTTTTTTTAACAAGCTGGTAATCCGGGTTGACAAAAAATGCTTATCGTACAATTTTCGTTTATGGAAAAAAATGCTTGCCGTACAATTTCGTAGAATTCCTTAGATTAAAAAAACAGTACGATAATAGCACGACAAGTGTTTTTCCATTAATGAAATTGTACGACAAGCTTTTTTTTCCATCAATGGAATTGTACGATAAGCAATGTTTCCATTAAGGGAAATGTATGACTCAATCGTAAGACAAACGACGTAAATAAGTTTAAAATACCATAAACATTATTTCTAAGACTAGTTTGAAAGTTTTATTTTGGTGAAAAAAAAAGCTTATATTATGATATTTTCAATAATGGAAATTGTACAAAAACTATTTTTTCTCCCGATTTTTTTTGTGTGAAGAATCTCATTCTTAACAATAAACGACGTAACTAAGCTTAAAAAACCTAGAAACTGTTTCTAGGACTTTTGAAAACTTTAATTTCCGTCGAAAAAATGCTTATAATAAAATTTTCGTGAATGGAAACTGTACGATAAGCATTTTCGGTCTATGGAGGTCAACCCGGGAACTTGAGTTCAATTTTTTTTCAGTTTTTCAAGTACTTTCAAACTTCTTTTAGCCAGTGTCTGGGACTTACTACACATGTGGAGAGTGGCAATACCACGAGAAGTGCATCACGTGCTCATCTTGTGGGAAAAAAGACAGAGACCAGGCACGCCATCAATTGAACTTAATTAAGACGCGACAAGCACACGAATCCGAGATCTAGGCTGTTATAATGGGCTCCTGTCCTATAAAAAGGTTGCTTTCAAACCAAAGTATATTAAGATTATGGTAAGGAGTCCACATGTCTATAGTTAGTGGCGTGCATTTTTCCATCTCTGTTGGCTGACTCCTGCCTGTTGACTGTTTTGTGGTTTTTTGATGACAAAAAATGTACGTTTTCTGTTTAGAAGTGTCGGTAAACTCGTGTTCATCAAGAAATAGGTTTCATTAGGTTGAAAACATTTTTAAAATTGGAGAGGGAGAAATCCTGAAATACTTTTTAAAAATTGCAAAAGGAGGAACAGGAGGTGGAAAACATGAAAAGAGCTACCCGGGATGACCGAAACTTCTTATCATACAATTCCCATATATGAGAAACTTCTTGTCATAAAATTCCATACGTACAGAAAATTGTATGAAATCTCTATGATAAACATTTTTCCATAAATGAAAATTGTATGACAGGTGTTTTTCCATAAACCTGAAGTTATTTCTGAAAAGTTTTCGGTTGTGTTTGCAGCACAACACAAGTGACAAAGACCTTGGTTACTCAAAGCACCATAGGTTGGACGGTCTTGCATTGACAATGCATAGAATACGACCTGAGTTCGTCTGTCTTTCACAATTGATATATCAAAAGCAACAAACTTTTAGTTTTTGGCAAAACTTTTTAATGGTGATTATTTTAAATTTTGATCAAGGCACCCCATACAAAGGAAACAGGAATTTTCAGCGTTTTTGAAGAAAAAAAATTAAGTCTAAAGAAAATAAAAGCCAATATTATTGTAACCAGGACTACGTTATGCACACAAAAAATTATATTTTGCATGCAAAAAAATTTTTTTTCGAAAAATGTTTGTTTTCGTACGAAATTCGATTTGCGGTTCAAAAAAAAACAAAAAGTTTTTGGGCCAAACTTTCAAAATTACAATTCAAAATATATGGGAATTGTGTGTTAAGCATTTTTTTCAAAAAACGAAAACCTCGGTTTTTTTACCAGACTGTTTTATTAGAATCAAACAGCCACAGAAATAAGTTTATATCTTTTTTCAACCATTTTTAAAAAATTTTAATGAAAATTGTATGACAAGCATTTTTCCACACACTTGATGTATGGAATTGTATGATAAGCATTTTTGGTGTATGGTGGTCAACCCGGGTACTTAATCATCCTACTAGTTTGTAATCTTGTTCTTTAACTTTAAACGAAGATTCAATTTTCCACCAAAATTCTAATTTTGAAAAAGATGCCTGAAGTTCAATTGATTCCTTGTGTCCACCCAGTGGGAGGACTGTGTAATTTTGCCGAATGAAGACGAAGGAGGAAAGGGGGTGCTGTTCTTCTGCAAGAAGTGTAATCTGGCTAATGCACCTGTCTGCTGGAAGTGTGAAAAGCCAATCATGGGTAAGTTTTGTGGATAAGTAAATTTTTCCGATTCTTAAATGGAAAAGAAAACGACCAGGGGTGCTCAATTATACCATAATAATACTCAATTGGTATAATTGAGCATCCGCGGCGAAATGTTTTTGTGTATTTAAAGGTTGGAAGAATCAGTAATTTTGGTGACTTTTCATGGCTTTTTGAGCGTATAATTTCTTTTTATTTTTCATGATTCTTCATATTATATATGATTCTTTATAAGTCTATCATGATATTTTATAATTTTTAAAACTTATTTTGTATAATTGTTGTTTTAACTGTTGTTATTTGTTTTTGTTGACTTGTTTCAGACGGTGCTCTGTCTGTGAGTGGGAGTGATGGGACCAACAAGACATACCACTCCTCCTGTCTCAACTGTGGCCTCTGTGGAGCTAATATGGCCCAAGGGGAAGACCTAATCTATGTGAATGGAGTGCTCAACTGTGCTGCTTGTAGGAACAAGAACAAGATCACGTGTAAGAGGTGCAATGAGGTCAGTTGCTTTCATTTGCTTTCATTTGAGTAGGCTAATTAGTTATGATTTATAACTACAACTTAAATCAAAAATTTTTAGTTTTGTTCATTTTGTTAGTTCCGCAACAACTTTGACTATACTTTCTGCGCCGCGGACTGTTTTTTTAGGGAAAAAAAAACAGGTCAAAAAGCCATTTTAGGCTTCTTTGGAAGAATCATTTAGAAAAATTTCGTGGTCGATCAGCCAAAAATGAAGGTCTTAGAAATAGTACCAATGGTGGGAACCCTTGGATTGGCAGGGGTTTCTAATTCCTAAAAAAGATCCCCCTCCCCCCTCCCTACTGTTGCAGGTTGTCTGTTATTGCGAGTTGTATTTTGTCCCGAGTTGTCGTATTGCATTTTTTTTTTCAAAACAAAAATTCATTTGGACCGCAGAGGATAATTGTGGTTTCTGTGATTCGCAGTGGCTCTATGAAAGGCTATTTTAAGCCTGTCTAAACATGCTCCTTCTTTATTCAGACCATCATGGGTCCCTACAACAGTGTAGCGGGTGACACCGAGGGTAGCAAGTTCACCTACCACTCTGCCTGTTTCCTCTGCATCTTCTGCAGCAAAGACTTGAACTCGTGTGAACTGGGCGGCAAGACTAAAGATGACAGAAGCGAAGTGTATTGCAAAGAGTGCTATTTGGAGAAGTTCTGTGAGAAGTGTTCCAAGTGTCCGAAACCACTGATTGGTAAGTAATTTCGCATAATATATTCTTTTTCAGGCTATAATTAATCAAAAATGAGTGTTATAAAACCGCATTTACAACCATTAAACATTAGCCTGAGAGATTTAGTCATGAGACCGTCTGGTGTGTTTTCAGACTTCTCTCAATGATTTACTAAGTTGGTTTCTTGACTGAGATGACAGCATTGCGTTTCTTTAGCCGTAAACTCGGCAGCTTTTGGAGCAGTTTTCAGCGATACAGTGTTTTAGTCATTTATTGTTGAAGGAATCCAAAAGAGCAAAAAGATCATACAAAAAAGACGTGTCGCAGATTCCGCGACAAATCTGTTTTCAGACTGTGGCGGAATCCGCTTACAGTTCAAAAAATGCACAGTTTGGCCTCCTTTTTTTGCATATTACAAGTCTTCAGTTAGAGGGCGCGAATGGGGGGTATGGGGGTATGGGGGGGGGGGGGGGGGAGGTCGGGTCGATCTATAGTATTCGGAGTGCTTTTTTGAAATTCTGCCACTCGAGAAAATCCTCGATATTACCCTGCAGCATTTCAACTTGTTTCACTCAGGCAAAACGATATATATTTTTAATTTAAGCACAGTGTGTTTTCTCATGAAATAACTTTCCAAAGGTTGACAATTTGCAGGTGATGCATTGGAAGGTGTTGACACATTTTAGCCCTAATAGTTAAGTATTTTTCAGCTGCCATTGCTATACTAAAAACTAAAATTACTGCAGTTGTTGATATTTCACATCCGAAAGTCATTATAGGAAATGAAAAAGTCATCTCAAGATATCGAAATACCATTTCGACGCCCTGAGCCAGAGTTGCAAAATGATAAATGGGTGAGCTGCTGAAGACATCAGCCGTTTTAGGGGGTTTTCCTCTGTTGTGATTTGTTTTTTAAAATAGGTCTAGGGGCGAACTTAGGGGGGGGGGGGAGGCGCTGGGGGGTGGCGGATGACCCTTTTTCTCAGGTATTTGACCCCCTGCCGGCCAAAAGGGTCCCACTGTGTACTATTTTGAGATATCCTTTAGCGCCAATTTATACTTACTTTTAGGGAGGAGTGCACGCCAATAAAAAGTGCCTAAAACGCCTTTTTGGCCTGTTTTTCAAAATTTTGCCTGCGGCTAAGAAAATTTTATCAAAACAGGGTCTTTTTTATCGCTTTGAGAGAGCTTGGAAAATCAATTCGATCGACCTAAAAAAAGTCGAAAAAATTTTCGAACATTTTTTGAAAATCCGACCCCCTCGAGAAAATCCTAGATCCGACCCTGAATTTGTCATTATGAACTTCGGTATTGATTAGATACCAGTCAACACTTTGCATGACTCAACCATCGGTCGATCTGTGCCCTTTAGTATTAGTTTTAGGTTATAACGTTTTAACTCACACTTCATTTTACTTCATTCATTCTTATAAGTAATTGTACAATTATTGTACGTAACTACCAAGATTATTAGAACATTTCATTATGGCACAGTCGAATGAATCAAACGTGCGTGGAATTTCCTCATTGTGACCGAATCAATCTTTAGAACCACCACATTCCTGGACCCAGTTGATCGACCAATTTCAATTGGCGATAATTGCGAAAGAAAATCTCGACATAAAAAGTATTAACGGACCGGAGGTACCAGAAACGCAAACTCCTTTTCTGGAGTAACCTACAGGAAGCGAGTTGGACACAAACGGAGCCACTAGAGAAGCAAGGAACAAGAACGCTAAGAAAATATAAAAAAAAACCACCGAATAACAGCGGATCAACGAATAAAAGAAAAAACCTAATGGGATGAGACGAGCAGAGGCCGACAAAAGCTTCGCTTGATTCTGTTTTTAGCACTCGGCAGTAAAAAAAAGGTTTTCGTTCAAAAAAATGCGAGTGGAAAAACTTTTAGCTATTTCGTCTATGCAATTCTGGAATCTTATAGTCATCGCCTTCAATAAACGTACATAATCAGATCAAGAAAGAACCGAGCCTCATCATAGAAGAAAGGATCAACTCTTGCAGGAAATGTGGGAATTCGTTTAGGAAAGGACATCTTAACGTATGTTCAGCGAAGGACATCACGTGTAAAGATTGTAATTATAGACGACAGTTTGCTAAACCTGGTAAATCCTGCAACAAACAATCATCTGTAAATATTGTAAACGATAATCATATGACTATCGAAAAAAGTACATACGTCCCGTCGGAGAATTCCTGGAGCAAAAATCAAGAAACGTGAGTCGAGATACATGCCTGGAATGTGAACGAACAGAGCGACGATGACATTTTTTCGGTGTTTAATATTAGAACGATATATGACGAAGGGACTCGATACCATAGGATTGGGATGGGAGAAGAATGTAATTTTGAAAGTTCCATGATTGGGATGGGAGTTGAATGTAAATTCGAAAAATACTGTAGACTCGGCGAGCTCAGTTAGCTTTATAAAACAAAATGTCCTTCAACAAGATACCTCAACCTGAAAAAATACCCTTTAGAGAAGAGGATCAGGGATCTATATTGTGGCGTCACAGACGACACGATTAACCTTTTTGGAAAAACATCAGACTTTGGGTGACTCAACCCATTAGCTGGGGAATTATATACTGTTTCACTTCGAGACATAGTTTTAGTAGGTTCTCGTTCCCCAGTATGCTACGTTCATGTCCTCTTTTGATGAAGAACGGCGTTTCTTCGAAAATCGACCTGTGGAACGCCGTTCTTCATCAAAAGAGGACATGAACGTAACATACTGGAGAACGAGAACCTACTAAAACTAGGTATCGAAGTGAAACAGAAAAAAATCCCACAGCCAATATGTTGAGTCACTCAAAATCTGATGTTTTTTCCCAAAATGTTAATCGTGTCGTCTGTGAAGCCACAATATAGATCCCTGATCCTCTTCTGCAAAGGGTAATTGTTCAGGTTGAGGTATGTTGGCTGAAGTTCATGAAATTTTGTCTTATAAAGCTAACTGAGCTCGCCGAGTCTGCAGGAATATTCAAATTTACATTCATCTCCCATCCCAATCCAGGAATTTTCATATTTACATTCATCTCCCGTCATATATTGTTCTAACATTCAACACCAAAAAAATGTCATCGAGAGTAAGTGGAATAAACGTTCTTTTTAACCCAGTTCTTAAAAGTTGGGGCAACAACGAATGACCGCAACGTAACACACTTCGATTCCCCGCTTGAACCAGTTCAGGCAAAAGGGAGAAGAGTTCCCTTACATTTAAATCTCGGGCGTAAACGAAGAGTTAAGAAAAATGGAGATCGAAGATCATAATATAAATTTTGAGAATTGCGACGAAGAATTTTTTTTTAGCCCGATTGTAATAGCCAAAAAGAGAGACGGCTCGATCGAGTTGGCTTTAGTTTCTAATTTGCTGAGCGATCAGATTTTAGAAAGAAATATCAAAAGCCAAACCTTCATGAATTAATAGACAACGTCGCTATCCAACTTCCGGAAACTCCCCCTGGGCAGGTCTGATTTAAAACATTGGGGTTGAAAAACGCCTACAAGCAACTCAAATTGTGACTAAATATGAGCAAACAGTTTGAGTTCAGCACTGTAGGCGGCGAAACAACGAGAACGTATCGATTTTTATTCGGTTTTATATGGACTGGGCGATATGCCTAATGAATTTTAACGAGTCATGGACTCACTTTTAAATAAAAAATAGTGTACATATTATTATATAAAAGACATCCTGGTTGCGTCGAAAGGAACTTTTGACAAACTTAAAGCAGTTGTAAATAGATCTTTGACAATCGTGGACAAGAACGATATGGCGAAGAAATGGGGAAAATGCGCTTTCTCTTAAAAGAAATAAAGTTGGTAATTTTTAAAATCTGTAGAGAGCGCCATCAAAAACCTTCCAATTCCCAAGAACATCTCGAACTAAGGATCTTTCTTCGGCTCAATAAACGATTAATAAAAATTTGTCCCAACTGTTTTGACACTGATCTCCCACGTTCTCATCCTATTAAACAAGAAACTAGCCTATAAATGGGATACTAGCTATTCTATAGCTTTTGAAAAATTGAAGTCAGAAACAGCCATTTTGAGATCAAAGAAAAAACGAGATTGAAAGCCAACGATTCTCATAATGGCCTGGGTGCAACCTTGGAACAATTTCATTCAGGGCAGTGGTAAACAATTTTTTTTGTTTCAAGGTTTCTAAACAATCACGAAATGAAATATTCCACCAAAGAACTTGAACTGTTGGGCGTGTGTGTTCTGTTTTTTGCTTATGGTGCATTTTGTAAATTTTTGTTCTACTTTGGAGGCGGAAATGGGGGTATATAGAATTAGTTTTAATGAATTGTAGTTTAAAAATTTTTCCGATGGGAAATATTTTGATTTGTTTTTATGATTGTCATTATGACCCTCGGTATTGATTAGAAACTGGTCAGCACTTTGCCTGATGCAGCCATCGGTTGATCACTGCCAGTTGGTGTTATGTTTAGATCAGAACAGTTCAAATTACACTTCGTTTTACTTCTTATATTCATTTAAGTAATTTTACTTATTATACTGTACATAATTACCTCGGTAATCAGAATGTTCGTACTGTTTTGACCCGGCGTTTTTGGAATTTTTTAAATGTCGATAAATCACGACTGAGTGGGCTTTGAAAAGATATATCACTCAAGCCAGTCCGATGATTACTTGTGGTATCTGATTCTGGGCGGAAAACAAAAAAACTAAAACAAACCTGAATACAAAGCTCCTTTCCCTTTTCAATGCTCGGAAGAGGAAAAACTCTGAAAACTAGCTCATCCTGTTCTTAGATAATCAAAACTTTTACTCGTTTTTTTGTTTAAATTAACAGTTTTTTTTTAACAGGTGCTATATTTTGTTTTATGAAATTTTAAAAATTCAAAAAATCCAAAATTTTTTTGATGACTGGGAAATGAGTAAACGGTTGAATCGATAAATTCAACCATAATTTTTTCTGAATTTAAAAAACCACGAGCATAATAATTTCTGTTTTTTTCGATAGTCGGAGCAAC